TGGATCTATGGCTGATAATTATGGTTGGGTCTCATCCCAGGATTTGGACTATTCTTGCCTCCACAACACTGCAAAGACTAGACTTTTGCTATGTATCCTAACCTAACGTACTTGGATTGGATTGGATTGGGTTGTACAGATGGCAAGCATTCCGTGGATCTATGGCTGATAATTATGGTTGGGTCTCATCCCAGGATTTGGACTATTCTTGCCTCCACAACACTGCAAAGACTAGACTTTTGCTATGTATCCTGATCTAACATACTTGGTTGGATTGGATTGGATTATACAGATGGCAAGCATCCTGTGGATGTATGGCTGATAATTATGGTTGGGTCTCATCCCAGGATTTGGACTATTCTTGCCTCCACAACACTGCAAAGACTAGACTTTTGCTATGTTTGGGATACTAGTTTGGATTAAAATAGGTATATAAAATAAATTTGATTATTTTAGTTTAATAAAATAAAATGTTACATTTAATTTATAATCATTTTATTTTTTCTTTTACCAAAAGTTAAAAAAATTAAAAAAATCTATTCCAAGCTTTTTAACCTCAAGTTAAAATAGTAAAAAAGTCAACTCACATCCAAACCAACACTTTGGTAGTTGACCTCAAGTAAACATCTACACCAATGTCGAACGCTAATAAAAAAATGAGACATTTACACACAAGTTCTAATTTATGAACTTATATTCCATTAAATTCTAATTAAGATTTTTTAGATTTTCAAATCCCATTAAATTTTTAATAGTTGGAATTATTCTTCAAACAATGATTGTTTATCATTTATGATTATCTACAAAAGAACATGATGATTTGACATTTATTTTGATCTTCAAAACTTTAAAATATCAACTTTCAAATTGAAAAAAAAGAAAAAATTTATGTGCAAAAAAAAAAAACTAATTGTTTTTTGTAAAATTAAAAATTTTGTGTCTATAAAGGAACATGATGAAATATTGATGTGCAAAACTTTAAAAAATAAAAATAAAAATGAAAAAATTGATAATGTTCTCAGTTTTAAAATTGAAAAAAACTGTTAATGTTCTCGATTTTATTAGATAGTTGAATCAAACCAATAAGTAGAACGGCAAAAACCTTTAATCTCATGTTCTGTTTTTTTATCAGTTAGTGAAACAATTATTTGGAACATTAGTATGCAAAATTGATAATGTTCATAGTTTTAAAAATTGGAAACAACCGATAATATTCTCAGTTTTACTAAATAGGACTCATTGGTTTAAAAAATCTTAAATAGAACCTAAGCTACCATAACATTTGTAAATAGGACTTTAGGAAATTAACTTTAAATTAATTTTGAAATTTGACATAAACTAACTCTACAAGAATTAACACTTTTGCCGACCAAAAAATTGGTCGCTAAAAGCCCATTTTTAGTCGGCAAAAGTCATCCGCGACCAATTTTTTTGGTCGCTACTTTGGTCGCCAATTGAGGGTTGGGAAAAGTAATTCGCGACCAAAATTTTGGTTGGTCGGGAAAAGTTGGAATTGCCGACTAAATTGTTTGTCGCTAAATATATCATTACTGTGACTAATCCATTTTGTCGCTAAAACATTTTGGTTGCGAAAAGTGATATTTTGCCGACCATATATCTTAGTCGCCAATTGTCACATTCCACGACCAAACAGATTAGTCTCCAAAAGTCAAGGAATCGCCAACTAACAATTTAGTCGCCAAAAAATAAGAAATTACCGACCAATGATTTTAGTCGCAAAAGTGTAGAATTTGCCAACTAATTTTTTAGTCGCCAAATCTCTTTTTTTTTCGTTTTTTTTTTTTTTTGGAGAACAATCAGTTTTTGTTTATAAAACTTTAATCCAATATTAAGCAGAAAAGGAAGCAAGGGTATTCCATGGTATTCCATTCTATCCAATAAACATGTCATGAAATATAAACATGGTATTCCATGGTATTCCAATAAACATATCCAGTCGACTAATTTTTCAATAAACATATATTCCAATAAACATATAAAACGTATTCCAATAAAAATATTCCAATAAAAATGGTATTCCATGGTATTCCAGTCGACTAATTTTTTGTATGCCTCAATAGAAAATGTCATGAAATATATATATATATATATATATTTGAGGTACTTTTGAGCATGAGAACCCAAATTAGTACCAAACTCAAGACCTGACCTACAATATTTAAACACAATATGTATGCAGAAAGTCAGACTTACAAGCAAATTAGAAGAAACGTAGATCTAACAGTCAGATTACTATTACTACATTCCATATTCCTACTACATATGTATAACTTGAAATCACCATTAAACATCATCGTCATCAAGCCCTAACCTTGACCGACTTGGATGAGTTCCTCTTCGCAGGGGTCGAAACTTTCTTCTTCTTCTTCTTCAAAGCCTTTGGAGTTTTGACTTGGCTCAGCCTCTTCGTCTTCTCTCCGTTTTTCACAACAGCTTTGTCTGTTTTCTCGGATTCTTTGATAGAAGCAGCAGCAGCAGCAACCAATTTCACGTTCTCAGATGTAGACACCTCGTACGAGTTTTTGATTTTGACAAGTTTCTCCGATTTCACAAACTTCTTCAATTGAATCAACAACATTTTCTTGAAATTTGGAGGAAGCAGAGAGCTGTACTTTTCTTCCATGAATTTCGCGATCGCTGGTTGGCTCGAACCTGTGCGATCCTTCAATGACGATATTGCTTCGCTTATCATCTGCATCAAACAACAACAACAAAAATTTAAAAAATGTTTTAACTGTAGATCCACAAGAACTAAAAGTAGGGAGAGAGAGAGAGAGAGAGAGAAAGAGAGGACCTGTAGTAAGTAAGGAGGATGGAGAGTTGAAGATGGATTGGTGGTGGTGGTGGTTTTGCCTGAGACAGCCATAGATTAGTAGCTTAGTTTTGCCATTTCTTTGGAAGAAGTCTTTTGTTTTGGGATTGATAGAGGAAGTGGAGCCCCGCGCTCTGTTTATGAAGACTTTTAAGTTTGAAATTTCAATTTCAAAATTTATGTTTTGGCGGAAATTGTTTTCATGTTTCCAATAATCCAACTGCCTAAATGATTTCAAGCCTAAATCATTTGATTGGATTAGTCTTTGTCTAGTTGAAAAGCACAAATACAGATTTTATTTTATTTTTAAACAATAAAAATATTTTTTATTTGGTTGCTGAAAATAAGTTTTTGGCGACCAAAATTTTGGTCGCCAAAGATAAAAAATAATTTTTTATTTTTCATTCGGCGACTAAATAGTTTTAGTAGCCGAAACTCAATATACGGCGACTAAAATATTTTTTGTCGCTAAAAATAAATTTTTGACGACCAAACTTTTGGTCGCCAATTTCACAACCAACTTATTTTTTATCATTGGCGACCAACTTATTTTTTGGTCTCCAAAATGTGACCTTCCGCGACCAAATTTGTAGTTGGTCGCCAAAACCATAACACTTTCTGCGACCAACTCATTTTTTAGTCGCCAAAATATGACCTTCTGTGACCAACTCATATTTGGTCGCCAAAAATAATAATCATTCGCGACTAATTAATATTTGGTCGCCAAAAGGTAACTTTTACCTACCAACTTTATATTAGTCGCGGAAAGTGGTCACTAAAAGTACAGATTCATGTAGTGTAAATAAGTACACTTATTTAGATAAATATAACAATGTAGGTCACATCACCTTTTTATATTTTTAATACATACTTTTATAAAAAGTTTAAAAAAATTTATTTATTTAAATAATCCAAAATAATTATTATATTTATAAAATTTCTCATTGATTAATAATTATTTATTTAAATATATATTGAATTTTTTTAACAAAAAAATGAATGCGAGAAGACTCTCCATGGTAGCCCACTCCACTCAAGGCCGGCCCTGGCCTAAGGCCAGTAAGGCCTGTGCCTTAGGCTCCAAAATTTTGGCCTAAAAATAGGGCCCCAAATTTAATAAAATGTTAAAGATTCAATATGTGTTTTTTTTTTTAAGGATCAATTTAAAGGGCCCCAAAATATTTTATTGGGTCCATGTATGGTTTAGGCCATATTTATTTATAAGTGTAGTTTGGCCCATATTTATTGAAATGAAAATATATATTAAAAAAAAAAAGCGTTTGGGCCCAAGAAGAACAATACACACAACACATGGGCCCCATTTTTTTTTTTTACCTTCTTTATCTATTAGATTTTAGTGGAATAAATAATTTTGCCCTAATTTTTTTACTTAGGTTTTTATCAGTTTTAATTGAATAATTTTTTCTTAATTTTTTTGCCCTAATTTTGTTTCATTAAATTGTTTTGTTTATAATTTTAATGATTATATGTGCAAGTAAATTTTTTTAGCTACAAATAAATAAAAAAGTTGTTATAATCCATCATTTTATCTATGAATTATTTTTTTTAATGTAAGTGGGCCCCCATTTCTAAAATTTATCTTAGGCCCCTGAATCTCAGAGCCAACCCTGTTGGTATATCTAATCTTTTTATTATTATTTTACTCCCCTCTCACATGGTTGTTAAAACTTACATCATCACATCATGTGAATCCATACTCCATGAGAAAGAAGAAATAAAATATTAAGTAAAAAATTATGAAAAATTACAAATACACCTCCGTAGGTTTGTTTAAAGTATAGATTAGCCCATGTAGTTTGAAAAATTACAAACATTCATTTGTTAAAAAAATTTATTTAACAAAATTAAGTAAAAAAATAAAATTCATAATTACTCTCCTATATAATAATAAAATAACCTAAATTGCTAATTAGAACATATTTCTAACATCATTAAAAACTGTTAATTGATTTGATGATTTATTAATAAAATGGACAATTTGTTATGACATTAAAAATCTCAAGGAAAAAATATAATTTTCAAAATTATAAAGAATAATTTATATTTTAATCAAATCTTATGTGATATATTTATAATTTACCCAAAAAAAATTAAATACACCTAACATTATCCCATCACTACTATTAGCACCATACCCACTGACATCGCTGCAAATAGCGGCAGCGGTACCTCCACAACAACCACAACCTCACCCTCACCCTCACCACCCAAATTCAAAATTCAAGGTCAAATGTGTCACAATTGAAAAGTTAGGAATCAAAAGTGACACAAACCCTAAACTATGGGGACCTTTAGTGTAATTCACCCTTTGTTTTTTTGTGACTATTTTAGCCCCAAACCCACCCAAACCCACTTCCCAAACAATGGCTTAATTTGAAGTGTTAAATTAAATTATCAAACACCATGTAAATGAAAGTAAAACTATAAAAGAGAAAATGTTAATAGTTTTTAGTAATTATTTTTTTATGCTTTTTTTAAGATAAAATGATGATTAACCCTAAAAGCATAAATAATTTTCCAAAAGGAAAAGGCTCAGAGGTTGATGTTTGCAAACAAAAGGGCCATTATACAAAACAATGTTTGCTAGACAAGTTTTTTTGACTGTTGATGATGCATATGTTGAATTCAATTTTTGTTTTTTAACGTTTTTTCTCTGTATGATATTCTTAGTTTAAATTAAAAAATTAGCTTAAATAGGAGACATGATATAACATGATTTTTTTATTTTATTTTTTATACATTGGTTAATGAATTGAACCACGATGTTGGAGGGCTTTAATGAAAATTTGATACCAAATTCAAAATTAGAGTAAATTAGAGACTAATTGATAATTTAGATTTTTTTTAATTTTAATTTTTATTTTTATGGGAAAGCACAAGGCCTAATATATTACACATCCGACAATAATTGTTCAATAAAATGCATTGGAGTGCAAAATTAATTTCAAAAGGGATAACAAAAAAAAACTCCATGCAAGGAGGATATGAGTTTTCATATAGGGAGAAAAATAAACCTCCACACAGAGAGAAAAAAACTTCCATGAAAGGAGAAAACCTCTACATAGAGATATTATTGCAACATAAAAAAATAAAATGATCATCACCAGACAAATAATAATGATCACCTTCATGATTCATTCATCTTTGGTAGCTTTGATACGTTAATCCCTGCCTCTATGTTACAAACTAAAATATTCTGGATCTGAGCTAGTCGATACCTCATATCTACTTGTGGATGACTTCTTGTCTAGTCTTTGTAGTCAATTCTCTATTGACTTTATCTTTCTCGAGACAACCATCTGTTGTTCGGTATTGTCAACCACCTATTGACTTTTTCTCTCTTATAGATCAACCATCTGTTATTTGGTGCATGGAACAACTACCTGTTGTCCACTATAGTCAACCACCCATTGACTTATGTCTCTTGAAACAACCACCCGTTGCTTGTCTCGTCCATGATATCTGGGATGTCTTCTATCACTTATCCGTAATGTCTTATTTGTTGTATTCTTTAACTCCCACTTCAAAGAATATTTTCTTTTCCTTTATTTCTTCAAATAAAATATGTAAATTTTTTTGTATGTAATTTGCACAATTTGATCGTAAGGATGTGTCTAGAATATTCCAAATAGTTAGAAAACACTATTGGATCGCCCAAATTGGACCTCAAATGGCTCAGACCAAGCCAAAACAAGTTAAATGGTTCAGATCGATGAATTCTAGAGCGCTTGAGAAGCACCGGATTATTTCTTCGGCTCGACTGGCGTCAAGATGACGTTAGTGGCTTGGCGCTAGCGGCGCAGCTTAGTCAGCGGCTCGGCTTGGTCAATGAGCTCGGCCCTAGTCAATAGCTCAAGCCAACGGGTCAGAGCGTGGGTCGAATCGCGGGTCAACTTGATGACATCATCACCACGGGCACTTCCACTCGTCTTTTCCCTGGTTTCGCGTGTGAAGCACGTGCTCCCAGTCACCGATGAGTGGGAACGGCGTTAGTGGTGTGTGCAGCCTCCTCCGATCTCTGTTTTTTATGCGGTTTTTTCTTGTGTGCTCGTTTCATCAAGAGCTTCCACCTGGTGTGATCAAAAGTGGATTTTGACCACTTTGATTTCTGGGCAATTCTGAAAAACGCACTCTGTTTTTTCGAAAAAGACACAACTCGGCTCTAACACCATTTTGTTAGGCTTAGGGACACCAAAGAAATAATCAACAAGCAATCACACACACAAATGAGACACAAATATTTACGTGGTTTGACTCAATGCCTACGTCCACAGACAGAAATGAGAATTTTTCCAAAACAGAGCAAATACAAAATAGGGGAGGAAAAACACTCTCACTCAACTCACAACTCTCTATCTCTCAAATTTCTGATGATACAATTCACCATTTCCCTCTCGTTTCTATTTATACACAAAGATGAGAGAGAGAGAGACAGAGGCAAACCCACCAAAATTTCTATCCTCTGTTGGTGAGAGTCAACAATGGCAACAACGTGAAGAGAAAGGGAAGATGCCTAGCTCAGACTTCCTTCACTTGTGGTGGAAGTCGTCATACGCCACTTTTTGCTTTGCATGCATGTGAGATGGAACTAACATTAAAATCATGGAATCAATCTGAATCAAATCGTTTAAATGTGGTTCGATTTGATTTGGAACCACAATTTCATAGAATTTGTTCACAAGAAAAATCATAAAACATTTTTAAAAAAATTCAACCTATCATAAATTATAAAAATAATAATAACATTCCCATCAAACAAACTACTCTCATCGTATTCACCAATTACGTAAAAATATAACATTAAGTACCCATATTCAAGGATCTTGTGAGAACAAACACAAAAACATAAATCTTAATGCAAACTTTCGGATCAAACAAGACTTTTTCTTCAAGAACACATGAACACTATTTTCTCTTTCTAAAACCAACTTTAAATCAATGCATGACGT